TAAAATGTGACTTTTAAGGTGTATTTTGGCGTCATTTTCGGACATTTCAATAATTCCTGGTGCCTAAAATAGAGTCTAAGTTTTACCGTAGTCATTGACGCCTATTCAAGAGTATGATGTTTATTGTGACTAGCGTGAATGGGTAAGCTTCGTTTCGACAATGAGCAGTTATCACTGTAAACAATGTTAAATTATTCTTCACGTGCTCAGTTTATTTTTTGAGAACAATTATTTAAAAATAAAATCTCTCAATCAATAAGAAACTCGGATTCACGCCTTCAGGGAAAGTCACGTTTGGACGTTCACATCGATTTTGTTTTTCGTTCGGTGGGCTGATGCCTTCAGTGTAGCTGAATCTTCTTTCTACCTCTCTTTCCTTTCACACCATGCATAATGTAATGATAAAAATTAGGAAAAAACGCCGAGGAAATATAATGTTTGGTTTGCTAGCGAGCGATAACTGAATTGAGAATAATTGCACATGCGCGTGAATTGAATGAACTATGACCCGTACAAGCTCGATTTGCATATTGTCAATCAAAGGTCCTGTTATTTGGTTACTCATGCAAATTAGGCAATTGGACATAAACATTGCCACGTGTGAGTGTTTTTTATTTTTAACCAGAAAATAAACAGCAATTTTAACGGTGTTCCAATAAGAATTCATTGGTCAAATTTTCACAGAATGTTCTTTAGATAAAAATCTATATAAAAAACGAAAAAAAATATTTTGGATTGAAATTCACAAATAAACTGCATCTCTACCTTAATGTAAGTCACCTGCTACATATTTTTTTTGATCATTTATCCTCTTTATAGAAATAATTCTAAAAATAACTCTCCTGATATATATGATTAATTCATAGTTTCCTTTTTGCCATGTGCGTTTTTGTAATGAACCAATAAACACATCTGTACCATCCGATTAAAATGTCCTTTTCAAGGTGACAAAACTAGCATTTTCATTACCCTCCAATGAGGTGGTCGATAACAGAATTACATACATCCACGTATGAAACGTAGTAGCAATAAAAAAAAGCAGGTTTATGAAGAAACTTCGAAATTTACAACCCCTTGGGACAATGAAACTCTTATTAGATAAACAATTGGTTCTATATGTACCAGATACAAGTTGAATTTGATGTACATAACGAAGCGTTTCAAGTGCCTTGAAATACACGACGGTTGTTCGATTACACGATCTTACATATCATCACTCAACGGTGATTCTACTTGTATATTTCAGCAATAATATGCCCCTCTTTGTCGCCTCCATTACATGGCAGATTACTGTGTGACATGTGGGGTCACAAAGAGCTGTGTCGAGTTGAATGTGACAGCGGATATGAAGTACCCCGAGGGTTTGACTACCCAGTAACACAGTACGTGTGTTTTCCATCTGGTAAATGGACACCATCGGATAAAGTTCCAGACTGTATAAGTGAGTTCATCTTTAGATTTTATTAGACCAGATTAGATTAGATTAGATTAGATTAGATTAGATTATTAGTTACCAATGTTTGTAATATGTATATTATCTCAATCCATGTCAGCACAAAATGGCGTTCACTTAGTCACCCAATACATCAAGTCAATTGTTCTATGTTTAATTAAATTTATTTCCATAAACTTCGTATGTGCTTTGGCAATAATAAATTGCCAAATAAGTAATGTTACACTGCCTTCACACATGACAGCAGCGACGCTCACTTTAAATTATTTACTACAAGCGCAATCACTCTAATCTTTACAAGCACATCCGAATCACTAGTCAGACTCACACCTAACCTAGATAAATCTGCTCGACATTCAGATTAAGAAATCAACGCAAAGAGTCACGCTGGGATGCAGGTATCTTCCTGCAATGAGTAAAAGTCTAAAACACAATGTAGACAATCAGGAATAATGGATATTGAATACTAATGAGACATTTGGGACTGGAGAGTCTATGACATCATGTATTCAA